TGGTTGAATCGAACAAAATGGGGAATCAACCCCTAGAACATCACTTTTTGGGATGCGAAGTGAGTTTCCCAAGGTGGGCTGAGGTTTGTGCATGGGAACCCTGTGTGACTTCACAGGGGTTTAGTTCACTTATCTTGGTATTGTAAGTTAAGTCTATAACGGCCTAAATCTTGCGGGGTACTTCAAAATCGTTTGGAGCCATGAGTATAGGAGTACACTATTTAGCCCCCCCCGCCCCACATTGTAGGTAAGATTTATCATGATGGTTTGAATGGGCTTAGATCCCTTGGTGACACCGCATTGAACTGGTTGAACATCCAAGTGGAGGTGTGACCCGGAGGGTTTTACAGGGAGCCAGAAGGGAAGCCAGAAGGGAGCGATCAAGATTTCAACGCACACACTCACCCTCGTTTTTCAGGGCTCCTTAAAAGATCTCCATGTTGCAACCATTTGAAACACGTTGCTTTTTCAACACCAAAATAAAAGGACACCACCATTTACAAGGCAATGTTGAGGAGTATACTGTAAGGATCCCTGTTTTTGGTTGCCACTTCCGTTTTACCGTTGGACACTTTGAATCTATGTCAACCACCCGCGAACTGGCAACGCGTTGGACTTTGGGCGGGGCATCGGTTCCACGATCCGACTTGCGGACTTGCGCTTGAACGAGGTCGCAAAAAGATTTGTGGGGTCATTGTTTTGACCTTCCCGAGGTCAAGATCAGCAATATTGTTTACCCGCAAGCTACCAGGCAAGGTGACCTATGCGGGACTCAGAGTTGCTTCTTTGCATCCAGCTCCTTCTCCCCCGTTTTGCAAAACTGTGTGGACGAGGCGGGTCCAAGGAACTTGTAGGTGTTGACACCGCTTCGGCATTCGGGTGTATGGTAAAGTAGGGGGCTCTAAAACATGCCTGTAGTTCCGCTTGGAGACCCAGGCAAAAAGGGTACCCTCACAGCGGATGGAGGGGGACCCCTTGAGGAAACCGGCTCCCTTCTCGTCGGCATGCGCTAACCAACCATTTTGGAGGTCCCTAATTTGGGGATGCACCTTCAAAGTACCAGGGTGGTTCAACACAAAATTTCAAGGCGGTTCTCAGCAGTACTTTTGTTTCTGCAGAGCTTGCAGTCGGCCTTTGTTGTTTTGTGTTTCTTTTGGTTGATGCCAGCTTAGTTGGTGGTTGACATTGGTTGGGACCCTTCCAGCATACACCATTTCCCAGGCTCTTGTACGGTCGGATGGGCGCCCCACTTTTTTCGTCCGTTGCTTGTACGGATCTGATCGACATTGCCAGAGAGCTGGCGGAAGGCGTTCTTTGGCGTGTCAGCTTCACCTATAGGTCCCCCAGTAGTGCCCTTTTACCCTTTGTTGGGGGAGGGTTCCCCTGCTAAAACAGACTACAGAAAAAAGGGTCCCCAAATTCTAACCTCTCTACTGGAGCACCAAGTCACTTTTGAGACCAGCCAACAGCACCAGGTGATGTAAGCTTTCGGAGCTTTCGCAGGACGGCCGGCAAGCAAGATCCCCGGAGACCTGGGCCAAAGCGACCATCAAACCTCGGCTTCCTCGAATTGCCCGCGACCGGGGGTCCTTTGGCTTTCGGGCAGCCTGCAATGCGCCTCGGGGGTTTCCCTTCAAACCATCCCTTCCGCAGGGTTCGTTTTGAACCAGACCCATGCGGTTTTCGTCTTGCCGAGGATCCACTCTGGGTGATTGGCTTTCGGCGCCAATCAAAACGGGTACCCCCAAAAACCTTCAAATCTATGACGTGGTGCTGTGGTTTTGGAACTCCAGAGACTCCTGGCTTTCCTCAAGTGCCGAAGTAGAATCCATTAAAAGGAACCCTGGAAGCAAGGTCTCCCCAAAACCATTTCTGTGCAGCCGGTTTCGTTTGTCGCAGGGCTTCCACCCCTTTACTTCCTCAGAATTAGTTCCCCTTTCTATTGTTTTTCGTTTTTTTGGGGTTCCCTTCGTTTTCCACTCACCAGGCAAGTCCTCATGTTTTGCTGGGAAAACAACTTCCAGCCAATGTTGGGTGAGTGGACTCGAGTGGACCCCAGATTTTAGGACCCCAAATTCCCTTTGCATTTTTCTTTTTTGGCTGGGGTCCAAAAAACCAGCCCAGTTTACGCTTCAGGCGGCTGCTGCAGGCAAGGAAGGGGATGGGGCTTGAGCTGCACCGTGGGGCAAGTCTTTGGGAGGGAGTCTGGACAAAGGACAAGGCTGGTATTTGGCAATGGAATTTCTTCCGTTTGCTTAGCTTTTTTGGTTTTAACTGGAATCTATCACTACTGGACATATTGTCATTTTTGTCAGGGGTCTTAGCCAAATGGAAGATTTTCATAGGGCCCCGTCAAAACTTGGTGGGTGGACGCAGGACCCCACCTGAATGATGTCCACCCACACTTCCCAAGTTAGACTTCACATCCATTTGGTTTTGTTGGGATTGCAACAACGAACGAACCCAAGATTTAGCAAATGAAGCAATATAGTAAGATAGTAAGATAGTAAGATAGAGTCAATATGAGTCTAGATGTTCAGTGTTTTGTTGTTGGTATGGCTATCTCATTTTCTATTTTGTCAAAACCATCTAGACCTTCATGTTTGACGATGCTAATCTACTCATGTTGTATTCCTCTTTTAACATGGTCCTTGTTTGTTGATAGTAAGAAGGTAACAAGAAAGAGACACACAGCGTTCACTCCAATTTATTCTGCTTTTTGGTTCATGTCTTAGATGTCCTTCATCTTCATCTATTGGTCTTCCTCTTCCAATTGTTCTCTTTGGAGTTGATAGAAGAACACTCAGAATGAACGCACATTCACGAGGACTCGCTCACGACAATGATGGTGTTTATGTACAGTCACAAATCTTTCTCGAACAGCCCAAACCCCAAGTAGCAGACTCGTATAAAATGCGCGTAAGCGTTGCTCCAGGCCTGTCCACTCAGTTACTATAATGAACACACGCCAAAACAAATCAGGAGCATGAAGAAGAAGTACAAGACGAAGGGGCAGCGACGGACCCTGGTCGCAGGCACACAGAAGATAGATCGGACATGGCGTTCGAAGAAGATGCGCTTCCTGGCTTACCAAAGGCCGTGTGCCTGCTGACAGAGTCAACGGGACACGACGGGAAACACAGCAAGTTTGTGTGCATGCTGACATCGTCTTCCGTGAGTTGTTTCCAGTTCGAGCGAGTTTTGCTGGCGCTCAATATCAGCGATCATCGCCCCTGGAGTTGAGATACAATGCGATGAGGGTGAAATGACCATTGCCGGCATGGCCATTCCAAATGAGCAAGTGGATTTTCCGTACGGAGAGACGCCGTCGCGAGAAAACAGGTGGCCAAAACCCACCAGTTGTGAGGGGTCCTGCTACCTGGCTCTTTTCAGCCGCTTTGCCATGACGCGAGCCCCTCCAAATGCTTGGGGCAAACAAACACTGTACTTGCTGACGAGTTTTCAGCTTTCACACGCAGATCCCTGAATTCAGGAAACACACAAGCCGCCCAACAAGCGGAAGGAATCTGAATGATTCGTCCTGGTTTGGACCACCCCCTTGAAGTGACCCTCTTTCAGGTTCAACGCTTCGGGTAGGATTCAACTAGATTGCCTCAGCTCTTTTTGCCCGAGGCAATCGCTGGGTATCGCATGTCCAGCGGCTTTGCAAGTAGAGAGCGGGCTGGCATTGTATTTTGTACATGCTTGTTCTATGTGTGCTTTCCTTGAAGAGAATGGGGCATCTGCACCCAAGTCGAAGTCCGCTTTCAGGGTTCCTTAAAACTATGTGGCTCCCAGCCATCCAGTTCCTTAGCTTTTTAGCTTTTCAGTGTTTAGTGGGGATTTCCATCTAACCCACTAAAAGTTTAACTTTTAGCGAGGGATCTGAGGGCAGCCCAGAAAAGGCGAGCCCCGGTCAACCGCATCTTCCGCAAAACGGTCCGCCGCCTTCCGACGGGATCCGGACCAATTTCTCGCAGGCAGCCGATGGCTGTCTTCCTTACGCAGGGACGGGGTCTCAGACGGATGCGTTTCTAGGCCCCCCAGTGTGCCCTTTTCCCTTGTTTGGGGGGAGGGTTCCTACTAAAATAGACTACGGAAAAAGGGTACCCTTATTCTAACCGCTCTACTGCAAAACCTAGGTTTCTTTGGGTGAGGTGACAGCTTTCTTGCGAAGGGTGGAATAGAAAGAAAGACCGAACCCTGCAAGAAGGAAAGAACGAGCGACAGAAAAGAAGACATCTTGAGGCAAGTGGCTGTTTCCTGCACTCCGGCCAAAAGTCAACTTGTTGCTGCCGCATCTGCATGCTCTCGGATACATGGCCGGACTGAGTCGGACCACGATCCGGAGGTCGAAGATGAAAGAAGCACCCAAGCTTATCAGTGAAACTTGTCGTGATGGCTAGAACCCACAAGGGCAAAAGGTCACATGTTTGTTGCATCTTGAAGGGATGGGAGGGGGTGCTCGATATGACTGATGTCATGAGCGCACTGCCCTTGTACACGACTGAACTCCGACATTCTCAGCTGGGCAAACAAGGTCTGACAACTTTGCAGCCGTCATGGGGTTCTGGGTTCTGGGATGCTGCACGCATGAGTGTGAACTCTTGCAAGGTGGAACCCATTTGTTAGACCGGGTTCCTTGAGCCAGTAAGTTGACCCAGTTGCCTGGAACATTATCTTGCCCCCAAAAAGTCAGTTAACTTTTCTGCTTTTATCAATGACAGCCCCAAGTGTTGACGGTTGGGGTCATGATTCTGTTGGCATCTCCATACTGGATCTCGATTCCACTACGTTCGGATGCCGAATTGGCTTGGCCGGATGTTGCCGCAACAAAAGACACGCAGAAGTCTCCCAAAGCCGACCTTTTTTGACTAGACCATTAGGTTTTGCTGTTGTGGTCTACTTCTCAGCACAGGTCCGAAAGGCACACCTTGTACTTGGTCCTCACTTAAGCGGAACTCACCGCCAAAGAGTAGCTTGACCGTCCCGAGCTTTTTTTTAATTTGCAGCAAGGCCTTTCTGGTTCTTTGCTTTTTGTTTTTTGAGGGCCCTTGAGGAATTGGTCGGGGGTTCTCTGGAGGGTCCGGGGGTCTGGAGGGGTCATGACCCTTAGGGCCAGACCTTCTTGGTTGAGGCCCAGACCTTCTCAGGGCCCCAGACCTTGATTTATTATTATTATTATTTTGCTTGGTTCCAAACCTTCTTCTTTTTGGTTCTTTTTTTGGTTCCAGACCTTCTTGGTTTGCAGGGGAACCCGCCCCTTGATGCCAAAAACGGCGCTCAGGTCAGCGCCCGCGTGGCGCGAGTTCCTTCCGGCGCAGCTCAGGAGGCACCGGGGGCGAGGGTGGCGCATCGCGATGCGTCTGGGTGTCGTTTCTCTGCCCCAGCGATTGGTGCCCGACCTCTCACCCCTTTTTCGGTTGGGAGGGGAAGTTCCCCTACTAAAATAGACTAAACTGAAAAACATGGTACCAAATTATTCTATCCTCTCCACTGGAGGACCCAGGTTTTTGTCCGTTTGGGAATGCGGCGGGTGGATAAATATTTCCTTCGGCCCCCAAATGGGTGTGGCTCAAAATCTAAGAAGGGTTACGCAGGTCTTGGTCTTTGCGTCCATTTACCTAGGGGCCATTTTTGGTACATTGTTTGAGCCTAAATGACCACGGGAAACTTTTCATGTTTAGAGGGACAAAATCATCTGCGCAGTGGTTCTCTCCAATGGGCATTCCATGTAAAGGACCCTTTGATCAACCCCCATGTGCCAAAGTCGGGATTTGGACCCAGGTTTTAGTTTTTTCCTTTCGGTTTCCCGAACAAAACTCTCTCCAAATGCGAGGTTTCAAATAAATCCACCCTCAAGCCTATGTATGAAATATCATACCCCAAAAAAGGGGGTACCGAGCCTCACCCACACCTGTTTGGGATAAATGAAGTGGACATTGGGTGCCTGGGCCGGGCTTTTGAAGAATGCGTTTCAACACGACCTACCGCTTGGCCCCTCAATTGGTGGTTTGGATATGGTCGCTTGGGGACTTGGACCTCTGGAGCCTGCCGAACCACCAATCCACACCACCAATTAGAGGAAAGCTGCAGGTAAACCATGGGCGCTTACACATGTGGCTGCACATTTTAATAGGGAGCCACCTCAAAAGTGGTTGGTGGACATGAATCCGCACCTGAATGATGTCCCAAAGGGTCCCTAATTAAAATTAATGTCCATGTCAATGTTAAAACAGGAGCTTCCATGCCGGGCACTTCCGGGAGATGAGTTGCCCTGACACGGTTGTTTAGGCTCTGCCGAATTCCTTGACAGGGCAATGAAACTTTGGTCAAAGTAGGGGGACCCCAAAAACTGGCTTTAGTATGGTTTTCCCTTGAGCAAACCTAACACATACCAGCTCGAAAAGAACACACCCAATCCACCGCAGTCATCTGGACAGAAATCATTTCCGCAAGCCACGAAGAGAGTTGCTGCAACCCCTTGCTACTTCTCTGAACAAGTCTAAATTAAACCCACCGGCCTTTGGTTTCAGTTGTGACCAAAAAACAAACGGCTTTGAATTGACACAATGGGTTGGCCTGGATTGTATGGAAAATAGGAGGCCCCTCCCCCATGCCGTCCTCAAAATAACAGTACATTGTCAGACATATTGTCAGTTGCTCATATTATGTCATACCCCCGGTTGGGCGGCAATAGGGCACCGTTCGCGGCTGCCTCTGGATCATGTCGATGCCTTACAAGGCGTCGGCGACGAAAACAGTATGTTGCAGTATCTCCCCCTTTTTTAACGATAGGATCCTTTGAATAACTACCATGCTCTCCCCCAGAGAGCGTTTATTATTGGGGGGGGGTGTCCGCGTTTATGATTCGGGGGAACATATTTTTGGGGGCCAACAACCTTCCCATGACCACCCCATGGCTCGCCATGGCTCGAAAAACGTGGATGGCCGGCCAGCCAGGTGGCGCTGGCTTCGGATTCGACGAACCACAACACGCTGGTAGCCGGGCTGCCACGGCACGCCTGCGGACGTTTTGGGATGGGTGAGGTGAGGTGTCCGGTTTTTGTATACAGGGTGCCAAAACCAAGCAGAAGAAAACCAAGAAGAAGCAAGAAACAAAGGTAAACTCACTAGATACTGGTTTTTGTTGTTTTTTGTTTTCTTGGTTTAGCTGCAGGCGACGTGAACCTTGACAAATTTCTGGAAACACACCTAAGCAGCTCTCTGGTGATCCAGTTCCTGGTTCCCACTGGCCGAGGCTGCGCGTACGCAGTACTTCAGCTCCGGCAAGGAGGCCTCACAGAGACCCCGTCGCTGCCGTGTCTTTTTGCCATGCTCTTCGAGCTGTTGGGGTCAAACGCTTTTGGAGCCGATGCTTTTCTCGGTATTCAAGACGTTGCGTGCTGTTACTCAAATTCGGGGAAAACACGACAACAACGAGTACGCTGCTTTTATTGGGGGATTCTTGACGCCGGGTCCAAACGTGATGCCCAGTTCCCCACGTGAGTGGTTGGAGTAGGAGCAAGCAAGGAATCATTGGGATGCCCTGCCTCCCCCAAACGTGGAAGCCACGAAAACCTTCTTCAGAGGACAATTGTCTTCCAAGGGCCTTCTGTCAGGTTCCATTTTAATGGGTGAGGGAAGCTGAAACCTGCTTGAACTGGCAGTGTCCAATTTGAGCCAGCAAACCGACTTGAATCGGGCGAGGTAAAAAGAGGGGCTCCATTTTTGACCAGTACCCTTTTTATCACTAACTATGGTTTTTTGAAGTACCCCACAGCCCGAATTCCCATGATTTAGACCCGAATTTGAATGGAGCGAGCGGATTGCCAGCGCCAACGGATGGCCAGGAATGGTTCATCCTCTACACGGAGGGCTCCTGTGCTGTCACGCCGGGCTCCCGTTTTGGAGAATCAGCGCAGAGCAGAGCCCGGAGCGGTCGGTGACCTCTCGTATGCTGGGGTCGAGCTGGGGGCGCCAAAATGGAGCTGGGGGTATCCAAAAATTGGAGTTTGAAGAGGGAGCCTTTTAGAGCAACCAGGAGTTTGGCAGGGGCAAGTTTTGCACCCTTTTTCAGTGCTGGAAGGGGACAATTTGCCTTTTGAGAGGGTGGACGCCTTCGAAATACCCTGCGCAGCTGCATGATTGACGGTTGGCGTTTCTCGGGTGTTTGTAGAGGGTTGTAATCCCGTTTGAAGCTTTTGCCACGTGAAGTCACGCATGTTGCCCTAAAGCATTATAATGAGATTTGCCATCGCACATCTGAGCACTCCTGCGGTGTGGCTACCGAGACCCCGGTCGAAGGGAGGCCAAACCATGTCCCTTGCTCCCAACCGAAGGACCAAACGGTTGGGTAGAAGATGAGCAGTTTCTCGTTGCGAGCCCGTTGCGAGCCCAAGTGGCTGTGGGTCAAAACCATTCTGGGATCCCATTTTGGGGTAGGTGAATTCACCACCCATTTTTGTCTATAGTGGGGATTGGGATGTTCACTGGGGGTACGATTTGGGTTTTGACCCATGGCCAAGTGGGTGTGGGTCAAAATTAAACCACCAGGGGACCACAGGTTTTAGTCCATGCCTCGATTTACCAAGGGTCCATTTTGGGTACCTATTTTTGACCCACTGCCAAGTGTCTAGCTTCGTGACGTCGTTGGAGCTCCAAGATCTCTGAGCGAGTTGGGCAACTGATAGGCTGCGCCTCTTCCAAAGCACCCGTGGCTTTCCAAAGGAGGCGCTTGGGGCGGAGCCGGGGAATTGGGGTTGCATGGGCGTGTGTTTTGCTGAGGGTCGCTTTTTTTTGTTTTTTTTTGGGGGGGGGTGGCGCCTCGATTTGGGACTTCCCCCTATTTTGACACATGCCCAACATGAGATCCGGCCAAGAGCCCTGCAGACTTCAATACCCTCTGAATTGTGCCTTGAAGTGAAACCACCCGAAGTAATTTTGAGAACCGGCTCCTCACGGCTTGACTGGACCCAGTCAGCCGCTTCCGAAAGTCCTCGCTGCGCTATTTCATCGGTTTTATCCCGCCCACTGGTAGTTTGGTTCGGGGTTCAAGTAGGGGGGTACCTTTCCATGCTCCAAGAGGAAGGGGACAGTTTCTCGCCCTCCAAACCACGTAGAGAACTTGGCTCCAAACCTTGGAATGACCAATCCATGGTTTGGGCAGAGTGGGTCCTTTTGGGGGTCCATTTCGATCCATCTCTTTAGTGGGATCTCTTTATTTTACACTTCAAGGTTCACTCAATAAACACATTAGTTTTGGTGACAGAAGCTGAGGTGAGTAAAACGGGTCCGATCCCGAAAGGAGAGAGTCCGAGAGATGGGATTCAGGTTCTATGTCAAACCCTCTAACGATGGTCCAGGCGCCGGTGAATTTGGAGGTTGGGCCCAACCTCATTCTGGAAGATGACGGTCGATCAAGGGCAGACACATTGTGCCAAACTTGCTCGACCGCTTCTCCGAGGGCCATATGATACTACTGAAATTTTCTAGGTTCCTTCAGTGCTTCATTCCTCCCCAAGAAGCTTTGAAGGGCTCCAACAGACCTCGGGTCATCCAAGATTTTCAGTGGCATCCTTTTTCCTTCAGTGTTGGGAAGGTTCCCTCATTGGTCAACCCAAACAAGGGCTTCCAATATTTTAACCGAACGGTGTGAGCAAGGACCGTCCCTTTTAGAATCCTGCGTGCCATGTTGGTAGGGTAAACCTTTGGGTTTCTACCCCTACCAAACGCTCAGGCTCCTTCCCAGAAATCGGACCCCAAAACCTCGGCCTCGAGGAAGCCGTGGTGCTGATTTTCGGCGGAGCCACGGACTTGAACCGAAGGCTCACGCAACAAGAGGACGGCCCGACGAGTCGCCTCGCGATATCAGCAGCTTGTGGTATCCTCACCAGTCGCTAGTGCATGGATGGGGGGTCATTCAGGAACTCAGTGCTCTCCCGTGTCGGCAGAAACCACAGCAAGGTTTGACAAGATGTGGCTGTGTGTCAATTCTACGGACTCTTAATCAGTTGGTGATCAATTATCAATTTGCCAGTTTGTAAGGGTCTACTTACTGACTGGGTTGAGCGTCCAAGTAGGATCCGCAGTTGTTTCCATGCTTGTCCTGATCACACATTCCTTTAGTTCCTGTTTGTTTGGGGTTTAGGTCCACCCCGCCCCTTGGGGAATGTGATTTTATTCGTGCACTTAGGCTTTTCGTTGTTCAGGAGGCTTGATGATCCGCCAACAGGGATATAACACCATACATAGAAACACACACACACAAACACAAACAAAGACACAGACACAGAGACACAGAGACACAGAGAGACAGAGAGAGACACAGAGAGAGACACAGAGACAGACACAGAGACAAACACAGAGACACACAGAGACACAGAGACACAGAGACACACAGAGAGACATACACACACACACAGAGACACACACAGAGACACACACAGAGACACAGAGACACACACACAGAGACACACACAGAGACACACAGAGACACACACACACACAGAGGCACACACAGAGGCACACACAGAGGCACACACAGAGGCACACACAGAGACAGGCACAGAGACACACGCAGAGACACACACACACAGAGACACACAGAGACACACAAGAGACACACACACACACACGGAGACACACACAGAGACACACACACACACGGAGACACACACACAGACACACACACACACACACACACACACACACACACACACACACACACACACACACACACACACACACACACACACACACACACACACACACACACACACACACACACACACACACACACACACACACACACACACACACACACACACACACACACACACACACACACACACACACACACACACACACACACACACACACACACACACACACACACACACACACACACACACACACACACACACACACACACACACACACACACACACACACACACACACACACACACACACACACACACACACACACACACACACACACACACACACACACACACACACACACACACACACACACACACACACACACACACACACACACACACACACACACACACACACACACACACACACACACACACACACACACACACACACACACACACACACACACACACACACACACACACACACACACACACACACACACACACACACACACACACACACACACACACACACACACACACACACACACACACACACACACACACACACACACACACACACACACACACACACACACACACACACACACACACACACACACACACACACACACACACACACACACACACACACACACACACACACACACACACACACACACGTGGGCCTATTATTTGGGTACTTATGGTTGCTTCGCTCTAAAACCACCTGAAAAAGGCCCCCCTTAACAAACAGGCCCGCATCAAAAGTTGATTCCTGTCATGGAGTTCAATTCCAACCACCCCTCTCGAAATTGGTTTTATTTGCAACTGTGATTGGCAGGGTCTCACTTCCCGAATTTCAGGACTTTCAAGTTTTGGGCAAGATCATGCTGGCAAACAAACAGTCGGGGCCATTTCATTTCTCTCAAATCCTCTCAGGAAGTGAGGGTCCCGTCTTTTCTGGGGGTCGGGGGTGCAAACAAGTTGGAAGCACTGTGAATTTCAGCCTCAGACTTTTGAGAGATTTGTGGCATATCCGTTTAAGACTTGAGGCATCAGACCAAATCAGATCCGAAGGACATGCTGCTGAACGAATTGCCAGCGCCCCGGGTGTAAGGTTGCCCTCGGGAGTGCTGCAGACGTTTCCCCAAGTTTTCGGGCTGACTGTTGACCATGTGTGTTTGTTTTTCCCCTTTGTTTGCGTCAGGTACAGGTAAAATGAGATCACGAAAAATTGCAGGCTTTGTGTGTGTGTGTGTGTGGTGTGTGTGTGTGTGGTGTGTGTGTGTGTGTGTGCGTGTTATTTTCCTCTTTGTTTGCGTCAAATTATACCAAGCTCAAGTAAGTGAGATCGCGGAAATACGGGGCTCATATGGGTTTCCTGGTTTTTCCACTTGCAGGAAATTGATTCACTGGGGCTGGGGTTAGTTTCTAGGATCAAAGTTAGAAGGGCCAAGTTGGACCGTGGCTTTTGCGTGCGTTTTGCACCTTCCTGGGGACATGGAACAGGTTTTACATGTTCGGGAGGCATTTTTTCCGCATCTTTGTGTTGGTTTGGTTTTTCTTGAAAAACACCTGGAAAATTGACCCGTCCTCAAATTTTCACCACATGCCGTGGGAGCGAGCCGAAGCGCTCGAGAAAAACCGCAGCCGAGGCAGGACCGCGGCTTCGGGGCGGTGGCCATTTGCGGCCTCTGCGGCCAGGGGGACGCGCCCGGAGCGTCCAGGGAGGGAAGCGCGGGGGGGTTGGGGGGGGTTGGGGGGGGTTGGGGTGGGGGGGGGGGAAGGGTTGGGGGGGGGGAGGACGCAGCGGATGGGTGGGGTGTGACGTGTTTTGAGGGTACTCCTTTTTTTTGTGGTTTTACAGGAACGCCAAAAGGAAAACCACAACTTTGGTGCCCACCCGGCAAACAGAAAAGACGCGGTCATGGGAGTTGGACTTTCCATGATGGGTTTCCCCTTTGGCTCCCCTTCAAAAAGACACAGATGCCGGGCTGACTTTGAGGAACGTTGATCGAGACTTATGGGGGTAAACTAAGGAATGACCCCTCCCACGTCAAAGGGCTTTTGGACTGCCCACTGAGACCTGCTTTTGGAAGATGAACACGAATCTCAGAAGGGAAGCCCTGCAAGTGGAAGCCTGGATGTGTAAATCTCTAGTTGGTTCACGGCTGCAGTGTTGTCGAAACTCAGGAGCAGTAAAGGACAAATCAAATCTGGCTACCCTTCTGCCGGGGTGTTTGGTGCCCAGTTTGGCTTTCTCAGGCAGTTTGGATTGCTTGGGGATTTGAAATTATTCTTGTAGAAGCCACCCCCGCAAACCTCTGAAACATCGCACTCCAAGGTTCTGGCGGGACGGGCTCTGGCAGTTTGCCCCGCTGCTGATAGGCGCGAAACGGGTTCGCGCATGAAACTGTTTCGCGGCGGTCCGGGGGCCCTCAATTCCCCATCATTTCGTTTGGTTTGGTATCCAAAAGTGATGTTTGGGCGTAAACAAGTTACCGAAAGCACTGGTGTCCATTGGAAAGATTGCGAGCCCTTTGACCCATCCCCATGCTGGGGGGTGCGTCTCCTACTCGTGTATCGTGGGTCTGTCTCTTTTGAGTAAGGTTTGCGTTTTGGAGTATTCTTGTAGGACTGTACAGAATGCCAACACTCGTTTCGGTAGGAACGGCAAAGAAAAAGCACACACACACACACTATTGGAGGAAATGCCTCTTTTGGATTTTGGAGACAAACCAGGTGCTCGCCCATGAAGCGATTTGCTGTAGTTGATTGCATGTTTGGACCAGCGCTGGAGAGAAATTGCATGGCCACACAACATCGAGCTGTGCAGCCTACCAAGAGCCGTATTACCATATTACCATGGTCACTAGCCCTCGCGAAGCCTTGTCACTAGTTTCACTAGCCCTTAACCCATCGCCTTCGTTTCAGAATTCGGGGGCTACTTGGTTCACCCCATCTCTTCTCCGTTTCCCCCGGCTTTCCCAAACCAAGGAATGGCTTTTTTTTTGGGGGGGGGTTCGTTGGAGAGTCTCTCAAAGACGTCAGGATCCCGGAAGGACGTGTCGGCAAGCCCATGAAGTTGTTAAGCTGGAAGCATGTGGGGTGAGAGGAAGGCACAAAACCGGGGGGTCTGAGCACTTTTGTATTTCAAGGTTCATTCAACACGAAACCAAATCCCTGGATAGCCAAGTTGCTGCTTTTTTCAGTCACTGTTGCTAGTTTTTGGGGTAAAGTGCATGGATAATAGCAGCAACTGGCGATCCAGGTCCAAAGAACTAACCTTGTTTGGTGGTACCGCACATGGAAACAAACCCTCGGGATCCATGTTCTTTTGGGCCAAAGAGCTGCACAAAGGATCTCAAGTGACAAACACAGTCCTGCACCAGTTGGCAGGTCGCTTGGTGGCAAGCCCGGCCATCCGGTTCCTTAGCCTTTTAGCCTTTTAGCCTTTTAGTGTTTAGTGGGTTCTAAAAGTTAGTCACTTTTAGCGGGGGATCTGAGCAGCAAAGGTCGATCCGAGTTCTTTTGGCGCACCCCGCAAGAGGGGAGGGCAATTTGCGTTGCGTGCCTCGCGGCGCGAGGCCAGACGCACACCGGCTTCCACGCCTCCGAGGTGGGAGAAAAGTATGCGCTCGAACACGGGTGGAATCGACGTGGGGTTCTCGGAGTGGGGAATTCAATGGACAGAATTTCGGGGATTCACGTCCAATCATAAACCCGAAGTTCCAAATTGAAATTCATTGCCACGTCAGTCGACAATGGCCTGTTTGGGTTTCAGTGGTCGTGGAAACTCGACGTTTAGGTTGCCACTTTCAACCACTGGGTAGCTTCCAGGATGTCACTTTACTGAACCCAGCTTTGGGGTTCCACTTTCTGCAAATACCAATGGAATCAAACTCAAAGTAGTCATAGGGGTGGCAAACTTCACATGCCAACTTTTCGAGTGTTACTTACCTGCCAACCTTTCGAGTGTTACTTCACCTGCCAAGTTCTTGTGCCAACTTTTTGAGTGTTGCTTCCCCTATCCTAAAAGCACGAGCTAGCATCAGTATCCGAAATACACAAGCAACAAATGCCGCCAGGATGCTTTTCGGCTGCCATCCCAAAAACACAAGGCTAACTTTCTGTTGCACCTTCTCTTCTCGAGCCTTCAGTCTTCTTCTTTTCTTTCTGCGGCGAGCAGCTCTTCATTTTCTGAGGCGGGTAGCTATCGAGATCCTGCGTGTTGCAGGCGCTCGCTGTTGCGAAAGCGTCTTGGTCGCTGCGAATTTTCCGCGCAGAACGTGCATGCCGAAGTGCAAAGGGTTTTCGATTGGGGGCGCAGCTCCACCGGATCCTCCACGTCCCAAAGCTAAGCGGCCGAAGTGTGGGCCCCGCCTCGGATCCTCCACAGAGTATGGGTAAACCGGGTGCTCCTTAAGCCGATTTCAGGCTTTCAGGTGCATCGGCTTTGGGAGGTCAATGTTCTATCGGTTATTGGTGGTATTGATATTTGTTCGAATGGGTAGCCAAAGCTAGAAACTCTTTACAGGACGGCCCTGGAAGCTCGAGATGTAAGAGGTGCCACGCGGGACATGTCCAGCACTGCTAAATGGGGTTGGCTCTAAACATGGAAGCCCCAGCATCTGGTTTTCTCTTTTGCCCAACAGACAGGGCACGCCGAAGTCACTGTGTAGCCATGCCACACGTCCGTTTTCCTTTGACTGGTTCTGTTAGTATTGTGGACATAAGCTTGGAACGTTAGGGTTTCGGGGTTTGGGGGTTTGGGAGGAACTGAGACGCGGACATTTCCCCTTGAAGTCTTTTGGGGTGCTTCCCAAGCCAGGTGTTGCAAACCGTGTCCTGGGCCTTCAGGCGCTGCGCGTGAAGGGCTATGCCTCAAAATCCTAAGCCAAACAGCTGAAAGGAAGCCAGCCAGGGGGTCCTAATTTTGAGAAGCACCAGGGCCGAAGGGCCGAAGTACCACAGCCCTGGTCCCTTTTTGAAAGTCACCAACCTGAAAGGGGTCCTTTTTCCCCTGGCAGTCCGCTAAGGGTCTGGGGATGTGAGTCGGGAAGGTGTTGGGTTCGCTCCTTTGGCCGTTCCTAAAAGAGGATCAACACCCAAGGCTAGAGAAGGCTAGAGAAGTGGCTTGTTTTCGTTTGCCCGGGCCCCTTCTGTCTTGCCAGGGACAATGTGCCTGGCCCGCAATCAGGACCAGGCTTGATGTTTGAAGAGTCAGCAGAAGTTTGTGAGGATGTCCGCCATTGTGATAGCTCAGACGTTTTTAGTCTTCTTGAATACCAGGTTTTGATTGTGACCTTTTGTCATTGACCTCCAAGAGGGAGCCAACACCCCCTCGCCAGTTCGCCGTCCTGATGTCTGCCAACATGTGCCGATTGTGTCTTTGGAGCAACCCTGACTTGGCCAGGTTGACCCACCCAAAGTCATCCTCCCGCAAAAAATGCCCTTGACACATTTGAAGATAGGTGTGACTTGTTTTTAATCGGAACCTTTTGTTCTTGGGATGGGACACCCCTGGGGAGCCTCCTTTTTTTGATGGTTTCCTTATGTTGAGGGACATCCATAACGGTTGTGGTTGGTGCAAATGGTTCATGGATCCTTGGTGTGTGGTTCGGGTGCAAGCCATGGATGCTATCATAGACTCATAGATGATTGTTATTGGTTGTAATGGCGCCAAACATTCAGTGGCGCCAGCATGCAGGATCCATTTGTTGGTCACTTGTGTAGTATTGCGCAATTCTAAAGTTATACTGCCGAATCCTAAGTCACATTGCCCAATCCCAGCGCAAATTTCTCAACATCGACTCTAGTACGTCCAAATACGTTTGGTCATGATTGTTCATTCCCCAAATTGGAACTGTGTTATTTTGTTGACCTTGGCGGGGCTATGGTTAGCTTCAAATTCCAACGTCGTGTCGTGCGACCGACTTCACCTGTGGATGCGTCATTCATAGGCGTTTCGGGCGGTGGATTGTAGTGAGTCACCAGGGTTTCTCTGGGTTTCTAGAAGATCAAGAAACAAGGGTAGACAAATGGCTTGGTTTCCTGTGGATTCCTGTTGTTTTTCTACCCCGAGTTGAGTGCGAGCAGCCTTGACCCCATGCCTTTTCAGCCACTGACACCTAGGGGGTGATTCCCTGTTTATTATTCTCTTCAACACGTCGTTCTTTTCAAGCACCCGTTGTTTCCCTTGCACTTCTGTTTTTTGGTGGATTACCAGGTTGTGTTTTCTTTTAGGGGGGAGAGGATTTCTGGAAAGGTGGAAAGGATGGTTGGAAGTTTCGTTTAGACAATCCCCAGCCGTTGTCGGCTTGGTCAGGCAGCTGCGCACGCGCAAGGCCCGAATGTTCAGGGTGCAGCCAGGGTTGGCGACCCCTCCTTTGCATTGAACATGAAGGAACCCCCCTAAAAGATGCGGGACGAGTTTTATCTGAGGGGTGAGAAGCCTATATAAGTGGAACAAGGGACTTTGTCCCGGACGATACCAGGGATCCATTTTCTGCGGTTTGACCTAGGATTTTCCTCAGAGCGCTGCTGGACTTGTCCATTTACCTAGGATTTGGGGATGCTGGATAAGGAAGGCAAACTGAACGAGCCCTCCTGTACTTCACTTTTGGGATCTATAAGAGGGAGTGCCACATGTTGTCCACTTCGGATTGATGAGTCCTCCCCAAATGAATCAGCCGCTCGTTCAATTAGCGGAGGCTGCACCATTCTTGGCTCCTGATCGGTACACAATTCCAGATGTCTGCTCCTTGCGGCCTCATGCAGGTGAAGGTCCCTTTACCATTCCGAAGCAATCAGGTCGGTGAGTTCCATAACTTGTGCAGGTCGTTTAGGCAACACCTTGGTGCTTTCCTAAAATGGCCCTTGGAAAAGCGATCAACCCACGCGAACTTGCAGTGGAGACTTCCTATCATTCTGAGCACAATACTTGTTTCACCCGTCATGACTAGCTCCCTTTGTCTAAAGCATGCGAGGGAACAAACACATCAACTACACAACTGGGTGTGGCTGAAAACTAAAGAGCTAGGCTTACGCAGGTTTTAGTCGTTCGTTCCATTTACCAAGGTGTCATTTTGGGCTCCATGTATTTGAGCCACAGCCAACTTGTGAGGGCTCCAGGTCGCTGACTTTGTGTGCCGTGGGGGTTTTGCTCTTGCGCTCCGTAGGTGGTGCTGGTGGGCGTGGGGGGTGCCACCGGAGCAGTGCTTCATGCCTGAGCACCCTGAATTTCCTGGGTGGGATGCCGTCCTTGTGCCCCAAAAATCCCTAAACTAGGTCCCCCAGTAGTGCCCTTTCTCACCCCTTTGTTGGTTGGGAGGGTTCCCCATCTAAAATGGACTACAGGGTACCCTTATTCAAACCTCTCTACTGGAGGACCTAGCCAACATGTTCCATCCAAGAGTGGTCCGCCTGATGTTGGAGACCCCCCAACCAACATGGCCATGGGTCAAAATCCAAATCGTACAGTGAACATCCCAATCCAACCACTAAAATAGGTTCTAAAATGGATGGTGCACCTACCCCAAAATGGTACCATTGGTTTTGACCCACAGCCACATGTTCACTCGCAGTCCATTCCACTGGCCGGTGCCCCCCACCTCCAAGCAACATCCCGAGCACTGGGTGACGTAAGCAAAAGGACCAACCGTTTATGCGTTGTCTACTTGTAAGGGCAGCGCGCACATCATCAGGTGCGCCACTTCTTGCTTGATCCAACATTGAATTTTGCGCTGATCCCGAGTGTGCATTCACAACAGTCACACGCCAAATCCAAAAAGAGATGGCATTGTCCAGTTGCAAAAAAACAATCCACCTATGGGATGCCCACATTAAGAGAAACGCTCACGTCAGCCAGCCAAACCATAGCTTTGGCGGTGGCACTGTTTGGAGTCAACATGGATTGAAGGTCCCCGTGCACAAGGCTTTGTTTTTGTTTAATCTAAGGTATTTTCTCACCCCAATTGGACGTACCCCAACACCGCTGGTAAAAAAGAATATTGTAGAACATACAGGCTTTGTTGGGCCATTCAGGTTACCCCAAGTCCTATACTTTCCATTCTCTCGTTACTTGGTATCATCATTACACACAGTCCTGACGAGTCTTTGATTTCATGGCTTATAATGAATCAATGAATAGAACAATAAAGGTGTGTTTCCATCATTAGTTATTATTGCACAGTTCCGACGAGGTTTTCCTTTCACGGCTGAGGATAGATGATTGAATATTTTTGTCAACACATAAAGCAACATGACTCAGCAATTATGCCATTTCTTTAAAACGAAAGAAACATGACCCCGGTTGGTGGTTGGAAAGATCCACCATTAAGGTTCCTTTGGTTAGACCAAACTGTGGGCATTGTGCCGTTTGCATTCACCCAAGTGGGTTTGGTTTCCCGTTCCAGGGTTGCCATTTTTCTACAAATCGGGATTTGGGAGCGACCCTGAGAGCGGAGAGCAAAAGGGGTCTTTCCACATGCTTGTTTGTTGATTCCATCCACGCTTGGGGATCCAGATGCAGAGCCTTCTGAGCCTCAGCCAGACGTGGGACCCAAACCGAGCTTAACTACCCGATGGCGCGGTTGCTGAGGCCGCGCTACATGTGCTGCCTGCCTGTTGAGAGCGGGCTTGCCAGAGGAGCCGTCGACTTTTCCCAACGGACACGGCAGTTCACTTCCCCAGTTCCTTGACTCTGTCTTTCATTTTCCCATTTGGAGAACCCACATCCAGCCGAGGGTTGACTTGAATAGGTGAAGTTTAGCAAGGGTCCCTTTGCCGACTAATGACCAGGCAAGTTCTATGTTTACGTGTTTCATGATGGTATCCCTTGGTTACTTACAAAGGTAGCTAGAAGGACTGGGAAGATATCTTGTTTGTTGCTGTTCGATTCTTCCAGCGGAAGCAAGCCTGTCGGTAACTGCAGTCGTCAAGCCGGTCGAAACGGAATTGAAGAAATGCCATGGGTGAAGGGGGGTGACCCTTGGAATTCAAAGTCCGTTTGTGTTTCTCAAAATCGGAATGGGACCCCGATAGCCAACATGGTGCGAAGCTCCCCCGTGAATTCCAAGTTACTGTATGGCATGGCTTCCTTGCTCTGTATGCGGAGCTTGAAGAAGATGCAACTGACCACCTGGCGTCCTCTTGTGGCGCACACTCTGCGTGTCCTTTCTGGAGGGTCTTAGGCCAGGATCGCACTGGCCAGGGTTTGCTCCATGACTCCATGAAATGCACGCGAGTTTGAGTGGCTGAAGCCCAGGGGACTAGGACTGGGCCCCCAAAGGCTCTCCTCCCTTAGTCTTTGACCTTTCGGACCATTTCCCTCAAAGCTTTTGGGTCTTGCAAGGTGCGAGGGTCAGCTCGAATTCGCGCAAATTGAGATGGAGCTAGAACCTGCAAAGCGGGCGCAAGCTGAGCAAGGCTGCAACCAAGCTGCAACCAAATGCCGCCCCTTTTGAGAGCCCAAATCCCAGTCCAAACTGCGTGGTGTGCGCCGGGAATCCTTCCCTGTGAGCCATCGCCAAATCTCTGAAAGAAGCCTTCGGCCGAAACCTGCAAAGCAGGAAATTGAGATCTGTCCGGTGTCCCGGTTTCATCACGCTCCCAAGTCCAGCAAACTTGGGCCACCAGGCGATGTTTCGAACCCACCCAAAAAAGAAGAAATGTGGGCTTGTCTTGTTTTGAGGGTACCAGTTTTGTGGTTGGTGTAAAGGGAAACATTAAAGAGAAGCCACCCTTTGGGGTCTGCCATTTTCCGCTCGCGCAGGGATTTCCGCTGCTTCCAAGTCGACTTGGCCAGGTGCCATCAGGATTGGGCGCCCTAGTGCTGCTTTGGCTGCCCAGCTTCTCAGACGTGGCGGGGCGCCCCACCTCATTCGGGCGGGTTGGGTTTTTGTGTTGCAGCCAGACTCGAGTCGGTGCAAAGGGAAGCCAAAAGCGGATTAAACTGGGTGTTTTACTTCATGCATCGCGTCCGGGTTTCAGTTGACCCAAGAGGGCTCGAGCCGCGGGCTTCCTTACAAGTTTACGCTTGCAGCCAGAATGCTCATGGTCAAACCTTTCGAGCTCTGCTTGACCCCCGGAAGGCCCACCTGGGTGTATTTTGAAACCGGGAGCCCAAACAAGGGTATGAACTAAACAAGGCATACCCCCAGGGCCCGTAGTTTTGGACAACCCGGATCTTTGGGCTGGCAAGACGCACCCAAGTCTTATCAGTGCGACCAGCCGCGCTTCGTTTCCCTTCGCCAACCCCAAAAAACACACCTGGGCAAGCCACTACCTGGGCGTGTCTGCCTTTTTTTAGGCGACGTCCCCCCCCGCCAAGAAAAAAACAAAGAGAAAACGATGTCTTTTTCCTGTGGGTTTTCCCTTAAAACCGTCCACAAGGGCCGAGCTTCAAAGAAGTGGTAGGTGGACACCCCGAATTCGGATTCCCGTTTCGGGTCGGGAGCCTATGAGTAGTTTCCCTTGATCCCAGTTGCCAGAGGTAAGCAGCCACCCATTTGGTGTTAGGGTTGCAAGGCCATGGTTACACACATAAACGGAATCACTGAGATTCACAAGTGGTCTGGTGTTGGTTTCCCTTAAGCCAACCCCAGTTTGTGGGTGCCGCGCCAAAAGAAACGGGGGGGGGCACTCCCGCGATGCGCGGACGGCGCGAAACCCGCGCCTAGCGCTCAGGTCCGCGCCAGGGACCACCGCCTGCCGCCTGGGCCTTCAGACGACCAGGAATTTGGAGTCCAAAAATGGTTGGCGTCCCTTGGCTAGGTCCCCCAGTAGTGCCCTTTCTTACCCCTTTTTGGGTTGGGAGGGTTCCGCTGCTAGTTGGCACCCTTAGTCTAACCTCTCTACTGGAGGAGCTAGTTGGATCTCTGAAATACCAAACAGAACAACCCCGCCCCGAAGTGGCGCCAACAAATGCAAAGCAAAGAACATGAAGTGGCAACAGGGTTCCTTTCAGGACACCTGTAGGATATTCGGATCATCAGCTTTCTGCAGATGGTTGCATGCCCAAACATGGTAATGGCAATGTTTTGACTACCCCGGCAAAATCATCCAACAGGAGGTTATGTTTCGAGTTTAGGAAGTTTAGGACATCTGGTTTAGTGTTTGCCAATAGGTTCACGGTGAGGACTTTGGCAAGCAGACAGGCGAAGGACCTTCCATTGTCTTGAGGTGGCATGTGATTGTTTCCTGTTGTTTTCAAGAGACCAAATCCTTACTGGTCGATATGTTCTTTTTTAGCGGCACCTTAAGCAACCAGCAGTCATATTTTGTGTGCATCCAAGCTAGAAACCAGGGGAGCAGTAAACACATCTCACCAGCTGCCACCTCGCCCGTGAAGCCTCCCCAAGTCTTTTGTGACCTTTTGTCGCTCATGAACCCACAGAGATGTGCACCCGAACCCCGGTCACGGATCTTTGGAGAAACTGTCCTTTGGGGCACAAAGGATTAATTGCCCCGCAATCTAGCTTAGCAAGTCTCACTCGCCCTTGTTTCTGGTTGGACACCAATGGGGGTTTCCCTAGATGTCAGCACGCAAGCAGTCGCCCCCTTCAACTCAGGAAGTGGAACCCGAAAAGGAATGGACATTTCTCCAAACGTAGCGTTGTCACTTCCATTTGAATCTGAAGAGGAGGTCAGAATGCAAGAACAGGGTGTTCTTTTTGAGCGAACCCTTTTGAGCCGGCTTGATGGGAAACCAAAAGGACCCCACTTTGCTCCCCACTAGTTCTGACAGATGCCCCTTTGAGCATCTGAAACAAATATTGGTAGTCTATTCTTAGTTTGGAAGGACATAGTGGAATTTTGGCACAAACACGTGAGGACTACCCGAATTGCCCACGTGGTCTTGGAAACATTCTTAACTTCGACCGGGAAACAACGGTTGGAGACAGAGGAAGACCCGTGTTGGGGCTTCCTAACATATATCATAACTTCCCTTCGGTTGCCCTGGTTTGGCAACCTCACAAGGCGGTAGATGGGTTCCCTTGAAACCAAGCCTTTCGGTGTTCAACATATGGCCCCCTTTGCAGTGCCAAAGTGAGCCCCCACGTATCGAGCCAGCTGGGGACACCCCGTGGTTTGAAAGCATGGGCGTGGGCTCACAGAACGGACCTTGCAATGACAGCTTGATAAATGGAAGCAAAGTCTGAAACCTGCGTAATCCTAGCGCTTTCAGTTTGAGCCATACCCGCATCGATTTGCGAGGGCGGATGCGTTCGGTTCACTTGCGTGATGTTTGGTTGGAATCGACATCACAGAACAGGCTCTTTCCCACAACCATGTTCAGAGCCCAACACTGTAGCAAGGAGATCCTCTCAAAAGTGAGAAAGTAGTCATGGGACGGGGAAGCAACCGCCGTTTGGGATCCCTTGAAATGTTTTTGCCGAAGGTTACCGAAGCACGGGGCCAGTCGGAAACATGGCTGGGCGCCAAAGCCTGAGGCACACCAAGGTGAAAGTAAATGGCCCAATTCCCTGCTGGCGGTTTATTGGGATGAGGAGTGACAATGGGTAGTTGAATTCGACATCATCTTTCACCCAGTGGTACCGCAGCTCGTGTTTTGTTTCTCCCAGAGGTGGCAGATGCAGATGCATGGGGTGCTGGAGCACTACGACTTGTCGGACCTGGTGGCGGCTTGCAGCTCAGACAACTCCATTTGGCTCTGGTTCTATTTCGCCTTGGGCGGTCTGAAGCATCATCTTTGCCAAGTTAAAGCGAGTTTCCTTTCGGGGGTGGTTCATCTTGGTCTCCTCCTTCAAATGGCTGCAGAGGGGATTTCGCCTGGACTGCATTTAGAGTTTCATGTTCCACGTGGGGAAGACTACAAAAGTGGATTTGCTTGACTGCCCTCACCCTATCTTTTTTTTGTCAGGTGGATTGAGGAAGTGCAACCGGTTTGAGGCTGTTAGTTGGAGATTGGCTAAGTCTTACTGCTTTTGGCGAGGCCAGTCTTCGGAATCTTACCTTGGCATCACAGCAACCTTTTTTTAAACAACACCCCATGGTTCACTGGTTCACTTGCATTGTATCTCTAGAATCAACCGGTCCATTTTGAGACAAACCCAGGGTCTCATTTTTGGGTTGTACCATGTCCTAGCGGATTCATAGGTTGATCTACATTGGTTTTCGGCAGCGGTGTATCGTTTTCTGGTGGACATATTGTCAGCTACTTCCAGTTACCCCTATATGGGAAACACCATTTGAAGCCTGAGTGAGCATTTCCGGACAACTATCAAGGCTTGCGTAGGATCCTTAGGGTCTGCCCACAAAAAAGCTGCACCTTTTCGAATTGCCACGTTGTTTCCCTTTTCAGCCCATTGCCACATCACCTTGTGGTTGCCACTTTCAGATGAGTTTCCTCTTGTGGCGATGTTTCAGGCAGAAATATCGGGAGAATGGGCGTTTCTCAGAATTGGGGTCGGCTTGGCATGTGATATGCTGATTTTGAAGCGTGCTTCATTGCATGCATATATGAAATGCGCGCAGTCTCAGGCCCTGCGAATGGAACCGAGACCCATGGCTTGTACCTCGCAACTCTTTCTCGCCCGGGGAAGCCCACGCTCCTCTAACACGGGTTTCCCTTGAAGCACCACGCCCATCTATGCTGGATTCCTTTCGCATTTCCCTTGAAAGCCAACCCAAAAGGGTCCAAGTGAGTTCCCGTCCCTCGTTCCGGGAGTGGTCCGTCCCTCCCCGTCTCCGTATCTCAGGCCCCGAGGCCCCGAGGCCCCGAGGCCCGGTCCGGGGGGTTTGGTTGACCGGGACAGGCGGTGAAGGTGCCCACGCTGGTGCTGGAGCCGAGGGGTGCGGCAAGGCGACCGCTGCTCGGAAACCCAAAGCCGCTGCCCAGGTTGGGTGTGCCTCAGGGTGGATCTTCCATTTGCTGAAATGTTTTTTGTTTAACCTACGGGTGAGAGATTTTACTCCAGGGCAACACGCAACTCTGTTTTTGAACATCACCTTTTCGTTGCCCTTTTAATTTTGGCAGGGTTTTGAACGTGGAAATATGGGATCTCGCCTGTTGGAGATTCAACCACATCCAGGTTGAGAAGGGACCAGTTGTAACCATAGCCGACAAATTGATTACCCCAAGGTAGACTTCAACCCAGCTCCCCTTTCAGAGAAACCCTGCTGGCTGGCTTTGTGAGGGCTCGCCGACCGGTGCCTTTAATATTGATCATGACTCCAGGTGGAAGTGGCCTCCTTGCTCTTCGCCCAAAGATCACCGGGACATGCAGTTGAGATGGTTCCGTGTCTGGACCCGGCCTCCCCATCTAGGTCTCCCAGTAGTGCCCTTTTTGCGCCTTTTTTTAGAGGGTTCCCCTACTAAAATAGACTGCAGAAAAGAGGGTACCCTTATTCTAAAGTCTCTGCTGGATGGCCTCCCCATCACCAAGCCTTATTCGGCATTCTTGTTAGGCGCTATCAGCCCCTATTGGCATTGGGGGGCCTTCGGGGACCAAGGAAGAAAAGAAAAGGGGGAACCAAAACAAAACATCTCTTGAAACCAAGAGCGGCAATCTGCCTGGTCAACACACAAAGTACACAAGAGATCAAGAGCGCTTGTTTCGAACGTCGATTTCCGGTAATCGAGTTACTTTCGTCTTGTTTTCCTTTTTTCGCACACGGATTGCTCCGAGCATAGCCTCCAAAAGCCATCATTACACGACAGCAACCGCGCAAATTGGCCGCGGCTGGTAGTTTAATGTTTCATGGGGCTAGAGCTCGGGCACTCGGAGTAAAGGAACAAGTTGCTCCGGGCCTTTCGAATAAAACAAGAGGAGAATCAGTGCTGCCGCCTTGTGTTCATTGTGGCTCAAGGGGAAGCCTTGGTCACCGTTTTGGCCGCTTGTGGGGTAAACGCACTTGGTCTTTATGTGAGTCACTTGCTCAAAACCCGAGTAAGTGAGGTTCAGGGACAGTCCCTATAGGCGCTGCCCTTTAGATTCCTTGCACGGCTTTGGGTAGATCATTTCAATACCAGGTTTTGATTGTGACTGTGCTTGGGGTGTCCTCGCAGATGGGGCGGCCTGGTCCACTATGTGGCCGAGAAGTAAGGAGCGGAAAGACACGGAACCATCTCAACTGCACGTCCCGGTGATCTTTGATGGGCGAGTGAGATCGTTCAAGGGCAAGGAGGCCACTTCCTCCTGGAGTCATGACCCTAACAAAATCGGAGTCATTACCCGAAAGAGAGGGACCGGTTGTCAAGCCCTCACCGATCGGGGGCTAACTTTTTCTGCTCGCTCGCAAAGAAGCCCTTGGGGATTTCAGAAATCCGGCGTGCGCAAAAAGGAAAACCAGACGAAAGTAATTCGGCCTTCTCCGGGATAATCGGTGTTCGAAAAAAGCGCTCGTGATCCCCCTCCCTCTACCCCCTCCCCTTCCTTCTTGATCTCTTGTTTACTCTGTGCGTTGACCGGTCAGATTTCCCCCGTTGGTTTCAAGCGATGGCTTCTGTTCACCTTGGTCCGTGAAGGCGAAGCCTGTCTCACGATGAGGTCGATGCGTTCGGACCGTTGGAGAAGCCCCCGCCCCCAATAGAGGCTACTGGCGCCAAAAAAGAATGCCGAAGAAGGCTTAGGGTCTTTTGTGGAGCTTCTAGCGCTGGGGTCTTGACAACCTAGGATTTAACCAATGGAACCACCACAACATACAACTGAAAGGCAACACATGACCTGGGAGACACAAATTGCAAACCCCCCCAAACCTGCACCCTCCAACTGACATGGACGTGGACAAAGGGTTTTGTACGAATAGCTTTGCCAAAGGCCGCCAGCCAGCTTCATGTTACGAGCATTCTCACGGGCGTTTCTCTAAATAGGGGGTCCCCTTCGATGGTGTTCAGGGGAAAGCAGGAATCCAACCGCCTGAGTGCACAACTCACGCGTCGACGGGTTTTCCCCGGTTTTTCTTTCCGCCCCAAAGGGGACACCCCACCCCCACCGGAAAACTGGGCTGTTCAAAGGTAATCCTTAATCCTTACCTGGGGTTACGCGAGGGGTTTTTATTTGTAGTGGATTTCCTATAGGGATTCTGGAAAATCGGATTGGCCAACCCTCCATTTTGAACAGCCCAGGAAAATGATGCGCCGTCGGCCCATGTTGCGCCGGAGCGCCAAGTACCGCTGGTCCCCACTTTGCCAAGGCCGCGGGGCGAGGCTTCTCGGAGCTTCCGCCTGGCGAGAAGAGCAAACAGAGGCGCTAGAGATGAGTGGTTTTAACATGGGTTTATGGGGATGCCCAGTGGTTTTGGGGTATCCCAGTGGGGCTCATGGTTGTTGTTGGGAACACTTTTCCCATTTTTGCTTATTGTGGTTTAGTGGTTGAAATCCAACCACTGAACTGCTAAGATTTGAGAATTTTGCTCCCCTTCCAACGTCGACCAAGCTATGGGGGTGCCGTTTGTGGCAAATCCCAAGATGTTGGTTTTCGTTTTGGTTTCCCTTGGGTATTTTGTTTTTTGCAAATCCCTCCCCAAAATCGTGGTTTTCCTTTTGGTGTCCCTTTAAAATCACAGAAGATTGGAGTACCCAAGGTGTTTAGCATATGGGTATGCCTTGTTTTCCAAATCCCACCCAGGGACCCCAAATGGTGTTTTTCCTTTTGGTTTTCCAAAACAGCCACAGAAACACCCGTATAACAAGGTGTTGGCCCAAGCTTGTGGAGTTTGCGCGCCATGCTTCTCCTTTGGAGAGTCTTCTGCATAAACTGATGGACCTGGCTGCCGGTTATTTTCTCGGCACTAGCCATACTCTGGGATGATTTCAGCCTGGAGCCTAGAGGGGGGGTTATCATTGACTTGTCATACCCCACTACAGCTTCAACTTTAAGCATTGAAGTTATTAAGCAAAGATATCAACAAGCTGTGGAATTCGGAAAAGATGCGATTCGCCGGGTTCGTGGCTGTCATTAAAAAGATAAGTCCGGCCCCCTTGTCGGCTCGGCATTCTCTCCGTCTCCCGTAAAACCGCGTTCCTTTCAATGGGTCGATTCCCATGTTGCACAGGCGCGTCGCGCGTCCCGGCCGATCATTGACCCCCGGCAGCTTGGGGTGCCGGCTTCTTCACGAAGGAAGAGAGCTCTAGCCCCAACAATTCTCCATGGTTTTTATCCGCGCATGCCGATTTGGAAAGAAGCGTATGTGATAATTTGTTTCTTGTCTGAAAAGCAGATCATCGGATTTGGAGTAAAGCTTAGCACCTGAAAAGCAGCGATGCGACGTCGGCGGGGAGGGATCTGGGTGGTGAACTGGAAATCCCCGGCCAGGCCTGCGGATTCTGGCAGGCAGGACTGTGGCCGGACGCGGGCGGCCTGCGCTGTGGTGTTCCTTTTGGGTTTTTCTTGACACCAACTCGAAAAGGGGACCGAGCCTCACCAGGATTTCCGGGTACCATGGTTTTCTCTTCGAGGGATTTGCATGTTTCCCTTGGTTCCCAATCAGATAGCCGGAGCTGCTCGGGTATATGCGGTACATGGACCTCGAATCCTTGTCCTGGCGAATCTCCAGATCGTTCTAACTGTACCACTAGAGCCGGCAGAGCCGGTGGGCGGAAGTTTCTAAAGCGAGAAAAGTGCCTATAGGAAGAGCTTGCCTTGTTTTTTTTTTGGTTTCGCTCTTCCTTTCTCTCTTTCTTTCTTTCTTTCTTTCTTTCTTGCTTTCTTTCTTTCTTTCTTTCTTTCTTTCTTTCTTTCTTTCTTTCTTTCTTTCTTTCTTTCTCTTTCTTCTTCTTTTCTTTCTTTCCTTTCCTTCTTTCTTTCTCTCTTCTCTTCTCTCTTCTCTTCTTTCTTCTCTTCTTTCTTCGCATCTCTCTTCTCTTCTCTCTTCTCTTCTCTCTTCTCTTTTCTATTCCCTCTTCTCTCTTCTCTTCTTTCTTCTCTTCTTTCTTCTCTTCTTTCTTCTCTTCTTTCTTCTCTTCTTTCTTCTCTTCTTTCTTCTCTTCAATTCTCTATTCTCTTCTTTCTTTTCTCCTCTTCTTTCTTTTCTCCTCTTCTTTCTTTTCACCTATTCTTTCTTCTCTCTTCTCTTCTCTTTTCTATTCTCTCTTCTCTGCTCTTTTCTATTATCTCTTCTCTCTTCTCTTCTTTCTTCTCTTCTCTTCTTGCTTCTCTTCTTTCTTCTCTTCTTTCTTCTCGTCTCTTTTCTTCTCTTCTCTTCTCCTTTTTCTTTTCTTCTCTCTTCGCTTCTCTTCTGCTGTATTATCTTCTCTATTCTCTTCTCTTTTCTCTTCTGTCTTCTCTTCTCTCTTCTCTTCTATTCCCTTCTCTTTTCTTCTCTTTTATCTTCTCTTCTCTTCTCTCTTCTCTCTTCTTCTTTCTTCTCTTCTTTCTTCTCTTCTTTCTTCTCTTCTTTCTTCTCTTCTTTCTTCTCTTCTTTCTTCTCTTCTTTCTTCTCTTCTTTCTTTGATTGTTTCTATCTATCTATCTATCTATCCATCTATCTATCTGTCCATCACCTGACCTTGTGAAAGTGCTGCGCCTGCCACGCCATTTGTACCCGACCTTGCGAAAATGCTTCGCCTGCCGGCACAAAATGCTGCGCTTGCCACAAAATCTGCACCTTAGGTTGCCAAAGTGCTGCGCCTGCCACGCAAAATGGACCTCCGAAAACGTCTGCGCGAGCATTACAGTGGGCAACAGTGGCGAGACCGCGGCGAACCCGTGGCGAACCCGCACGCAGAACAGAGGTACCCTTCGCGATTTTTTCGTGCAGACTTCACTTCTGAGTGCATCCGGATCTTGTGATTCAACTTTTCGTTTTACGGAAGTTTTCTTGCTAAACTTGCTTTGACTCAAGTTTTGGGTATGCTGACTGATTGTTACCTTCAAAGGCTGCATGTATACGTCCATGAACCCCGTCCAGAATGGGCATGGCTTCGTTGGACCAATCAGCCTTCGGCTGAGAGCCACAGCACATCTTGAGCACTTTGTGCCAGGCCCCCTGAGCAAGGCTCGCCGTGCGCGCGAGATCGCCTCCTTTGTCTCCGCCCGTCTCAAGCTCGGGGCAGTCGGCTGAAAGCACTGGGGCTGCTGGTGTCATGCTTTGTGAGTTTATGGGTTTATGAGTTTATGAGTTTACGAGTCTATGAATTTATTGTTTTGTTAGTTTCCGGGACCTCTGGTTTACGGAAGGAACCCAAGTGGATCCTCTCTGGCTCGCCCTGGATGGATTTCTCTGTCGCCCCTCTGCCAGTGTCTATAAGCAGATGGAGTCTGCTGTTAACGCACTCGGCGCCTTTTCTGATGGCAAGAGATGAGAACTCATTGGTGCATGTTGTTGTCAATGCGGCGACCAGAACGGAGGGCTTACTCCCTGAACAAATCAATGCGTGGATCGGATTGCCCAAGACCATGGCACGGATGTTTATTCGCATGGGATATGACCAGTTCTGAGCATCGATTTGCATGCGGGCTGTGCCATTGTCACACGGACCATTGCATGTCAGATGGGTCCCCCTCATTCGCGAGGCTGTCCATTGGGATCTCTCATGTCAAATGCTCAGAAGCTACTTGGTGAGGATACCGATGTTATTTGCTTTGGCGCCAGAAAGAAAGAGCCTTGCTTGCTAAAGGTAGTTGATGCACATCAAGCTCTCAAAAAGGTGGTAAGGAATCATTCAAGGGCTCTTGTTGAGGGAACCAAGTCCCCAGCCCCCATGCCAGAAGCGTCATCGTTGCATTCCGGCGACTTGCCATGGTTAAGTGCCCTCTGCTGAGCCGAAGATCGGTGCGGCGGGGTTTGATTTCTGCGCAAGCGACAGGCGTGGAACAAAAAGAGGGAAAAACAGAACGCGCGGGCAATGTGCGGTCAGCCGCAGATGGGGGTTTCCCACAGATTTCGGACTCCCTTTTCCCTTTTGGCGGGTATTAAAAAAGGGAAACCAGCAGGACACTAACCATTTTAAGTCGGCACAGTTGTTGAGAAGCACTTCGCTGTCCTTTTGATGCTACTTGTTCCACATGGATTTCTAAACGCCATCTAAGTATCTTCTCGGCAAGTCAAATCAAGCTTCGTTTGCGCTATGAAAGGATTTGGGCCCCCTTGTACTGTGCAGTGGTTCCCAGGGGATTGTGGGAACTTGTATTGGACGAATTCCAATTCTCCATTTTGAGAAGGGGTCAGAACGTAACATTTCAATTGTACCATGTTGAGTTCATATCCAAGCTGTTGGCTCTTCCTGCACGGAGACGGAGACTGGATTCGGTCGAATCCAGAAATGGCTTGTGCAAGAGAGCTGTTCAACGGCACCCAACGGCACTTGACTGGAGGTTTGCGGAAGACTGGTTTCCTCTTGGCCTTTCCGCTGGCCGCTCGGCAGCTCGTTCGGAGGGACCACTTTGGGTTTGGCTGAAAAACTTGCAGACCCCCCCGACTCCCCCCCCCCCCCGACAAGAAAAAGTGGTTTGCCTCGTGGTTTGCGCCTGTATAAATGGTTTCCTTTTGGTTTGTACCTAACACGAGCGAATAGGGTTTTGGTTTCCGATTGCAGGCGAGATTTTCAGGAAGGGTCTCCTTTGGTAAACCCTTCCCGCCGGAGTTCACCGGAGGAGCTTCCAGGCTGCTTGTATGCGTCGGTTTCTCACCATGGCTATAGGCCACTCAAGTGGTACCTCAGCACGACCTATGCTTTGAGACTGCGGGTCGAGGAAGCCATCCAAGGCATCCATGGAATCCTTGGTCTTTCGCCCGAGGGAAGCCTTCAACTTGTTGGACAGCGCAGGTCACTCCGTTGACCATGAAGAAGTTCATCATTGTTTTGGGGGAGAAAGACCCTTTCAGATGTGTTGGATCACATTTCTTATTCGAGCCAGAATGAATCTGCACTGAAGGCTTAGTTCAGTTTCAGACCCGTGTCAGCTTCCTTTTTTTTGTCTTTTTCGGTTGGTCACTTGTGGGTGTTCGGCCTTTACTCAGGATGCCCCTTTGCAAATTGTCGCCCCTTCAGTCATGGCCCGGAATAAGCATGCGGAGGGTGAGAGGGGGAGGGTCCCTTTGGTCTCCCTTTCAAAGCAAGGAACAGGGGTCCACCGTTTTGAGAAACTCACTTGGGCATGCGTGTGCCTCGTGCCACAATGTGCCACACAGCTGTTTCAGCTTCTTGGCCTTTCAGGGAGAGACAGGGCCCAACACAAAATCAGGCACTTGGCCCTCACGTCAAGCAAACATCAGCCACCTCAACAAGAAATATCCTCTGTCCAACATGGAAGCTGAGAACACGAAGCCTTCTTTTGAGCCAGCGTTTTGGATCCCCTTTTGGTTGCTGGGGAAGGTGGGGGGGGGGTTCCCGAAAGAAAGCTCCACCACGGGGTCTAAGTTGGCCATCAACCAATAGCAAACCACCAAACTATATTTAATATCAGGGAAACAAACCTATAAAGCAGCTTCAGCTTCAACAAGACTATAAAACCAATAGAAGCAAAACAAATAGAACATGCCATGGCTGCGCTGGCCTTCAGAGGATAGGGGTGGGGGGGGGGGCAGAGCCTCAGGAAGGCCTGAGGCAACATCTGGATGTGTAATCCACTTGGGTATGTCAACAAAAAGGGACCCAGGACCCCAAACCAAGAAACCAATTCCGGTGTCTTTCATTAAGGGTACCCTCAACCTACCACTTAGTAATCAGGTCAGGACCACATTTTAAGGGGACTAACCCCTGCCCGAATCAATTTCAGGCAAAACGTCGTGGCCAAGTGACGTCTTAAACAAATTGGAGTTGAGATCCACAGCCCCAAGGGTCGCCAACTAAGGTTCATGCCCAGATGCTCACAAAACAGGTTCTGTTGCAAGATGATTGGCCTTACGATTTTGAGACCTGCACCTTGCCTTCCTTGTCCCCCCCCGGTTTTGTTCCCATGGTCAACTGCTGGGACATGGCTGTTGGTCAAAACCCTGTACCCCTGGTGAACATCAAAATAGGTGGCAAATGGATGTTCATCCAGCCTAAAATGGAGCCATTGGTTATGCCCCATGGCCACATGTTTGGACATTTTGCACACGGTCTATGGTGCAGATGGCTTGGTTGGGCGTAGCTACGCCACCCAAACCCGGCGCAGGCGCACAGCTCTTCCCGCGGCTCGTGCGGCACTGCGGAGGCGGGTGAGCCGACGGCGGTCTTTTTCGCGCGTCCCTTGCGTGCTCAGATTTTGGCAGGGTCCTTTTTGGTTGATCTGGTTGAACAATAGAGGCCGATTCCTGGTTTACCTGGTGGTTCAATCAACTACCAGGGCCATCTATTTTCCCAAGAAGGACAATGCTGAGAAAGCTGAGGCTATGATTTTCGGATCCCTTTTGAAGGCGCAACAACTCAACGAAGCAGGATCCGGTTGGTTTTTGACAGCCTCGGCCAATATGTATTGTCATTTGCTGTGGTCAATTGGATGACATGGCGCACTCACGTTGCCGCCAGGAAATGGGAGCCCACCGAAGTTCCACGCGGTCCAACCTAAAATTTGGACGCATCGCCAAAAGCGGGTTTCCAGTATTTCTCCCCAAAGGTTCCGTTGGGGTGATGTTTACTTTGGTGCATTTTGCCAAGGGATGTTCGGACTGAACAACTTTTTGCCAACTAACGGGTTTTCCGTATTAACCCATTCAAAGTCAAACAACTTTAGCGGAGCAGAAAGGCAACCAAGCATGGATACGGCCTCGGATGGAATGCGTCCTCGACTTCTTGGGTTGTCCAGCGGAAACCGAAGCCAATGGTGACCTTTTGATTTGGATGGTGTCCGAGTTTAAAGAGGAGCTCTGAGGAATTTTCGGAGGTATGGCCCATCCCCACGTGGACATGAGCCAGATTATGGCTCCGCACCCGAAGCGCGCCGTCGCCTTGGCGCAGACGCTCGGACGAAAGGAGCCCTCGGCGTGGTGTGAATCTGAGTTAGGGACCCGAAACTCTGTTGCCCAGTGGTGCCCTTTTTCCTTTTTGTTGGATAAACTCAACCAGCAAAAAAAGGGGTGTCCGTTTTTCCTCATAGCTACTGGGCATCTGAGGAAACGGACATCAGAATGCGGTGCATGTATGTCCGCCACAAGAATCATAGCGATTTGAGGGCTTCTCAAATGGCGGACCAGCTTTCGGTGGGTGGTTAAAGCGAAGCCAAGAGGACACCGGCCACTTTAGAAGCCCCCGTTGAGCTGCGATATGTGTTTCTTGGGTGGTTTAAACATCTTTTTTTTTGGCAAGATAGTGTTGATGTCGCCCGGTTTTGGTGGGTTTAGCCATCGCGTGTCTGCTTGTTTGCAGATCATTGCCAGATCACGGTCCCAGAGATTTGGTTAAGCATCTGCTCCCTGGTAGGCAAGATCATCTGGTTGCCAATGTTGAGGGGACAAACAGGAACCCATAGCAAAGCATCACTGGTGCTGGCGCTGGAAATTGCTTGTTTGTTTGTTTGTTTGTTTGTGTGTTTGTGTTTGTGTTTGTGTGTCAATTGTGTTTGCTTGTGTACGTGTAATCGCAGGTTTTTTCTTTTTTTTCTATGTTCTTGATCTTGCATTTGCTGTGCTTGTCAGGTCGGCCACAGCAGGCTTGTTCTTAGGGCTGTTTCCTGTCGGCTTCCTCTACGGGGTCCGAGATCCATTTTGAGAAACTCCCAGAGCGCACTCCATGGGTCATGTGCTCAGCTACGTATGTTGGTGAGTACGGAAAATCGAGATCCCCCCCATTTTGAACAAAACATCACAACCTGAGCCATAGTCGAAGCTCAGGCAATTGGAGGATAGTAACCGACACTCCCAACCATAGATAGGTCCGGCTATCCGCCCTTTAAATTCTTAACCTTGGCTTGGGTCGACCCATTTTGTGCCAAGTTTTGATTATGGTGTTTTCTTTTACGGGTACCCTCTTCGGGGTAGGTTTCCAGGGACACCGGTGCGATTGTGACTCGCTCGTTTCTTCGTTTCGTGTGCCGTAGGATGAGGGAGGCGCTGACGGAACGGGGCTATTTCTATGCCAGCAACGTGGATTGCCTCCCGCAGGAGTACATCCAGAGCGCGGGGTCCCCGGTTGCGCACGAATGCACCTACTGAGTTGGGGTAGTTCTCAAAATCAGTGGACGCCAATTGGGTGTGCCAGAAGGAAAACCGCAATTTTGGGGGGTCCCCCAAAAAAGACATCCAATTTCCTTTAGTTTCCCTTTGAAACTACGTGCACAATAAGGGTCCCCGCCAGTTTGAGCAACCAGGTTGTAATCATTTGTAGTCTACTTACCACGGGCCCTTGTTGGGTACTCCGTTGGGAGCCCCGGTAACAACTCCCTACGCCTTGAAGCCGCCCGGTCCGGTCGCGAGCGAGGTCTACGCCTACGCGGGGCAGCTGCACGCCTTGCCGGCGCAGGAGAAGCAGCGGTGTGCGCGGCCAAAGGGCACCTATTCGGGCGCCGACGCGGCCTGTCTGATGTTTGGAGGTTTGGATTGGTCTTGGGTCTGTCTTGTTTTTGGTGGTTTCCCCCAAACTGGGCGGTGTTCCTTCAGACCAGTCAAAAAGGCAGAACCACATAGCAATGAATTTTAATACGCAAAAACCCTCCAAAATGGTTGGTGGACATGGATTACCTAAATGATGTCTTTGCCAAAGGGTCCCTAATTAAAATTTAGGTCTTATATGGGTTTGTCTTGTTTTGGGGGGCTCTCCGAAAATAGGCGATTTTCCTTCAGACCAACACGGGGTCCATCAAAGAAACAGACCCATATATGGATATCAATTTGCTTGGGGAACCAGCTCAAAAGACGTTTGGTCTGACTATTTGTTTCTATGGGACGAGCAAATTTGGTTTGGGGTTATCTATTTTGCCCCACAAGGAGCAAACGAGGAAATCGGAGGTTTCCGAGCACCAGCTAGTTAGGATCCGCAAGAGTTGCCGAAAGTCCCCAAACCAAAGGACCCCCCCAGAATTCACATCCATACTCATTTTGGAAGGATTCAACGGGCTTTCTCTGAACTGGTATGGGGGGAATATCACATGTCTCATTGATGCAATTCGCTCCTAAGGAAACCAAAGTCGTTCGGTTTGGAAAATGATGGATTCGGCTTAGCTGGGCCAAGCCAATCCCAACAGATGATCAGTTGTTTGTTTGGTTTCCCTGTTCTGCCCGGTCTTAGCCACCGGCAGCCCTTCAAGCGACAGCCGAGGGTCACTTTGGCGGAACAGGACTTAGTGCCCAGCCACCTACTCATTCCAGGCTAGTCCGACCATCAGTTTCCTGATGTGAGCAACTGACATGGTAGCCCGTGATGTTTAGGTCAAGAAGGTTGCTCGGAATCTCCTTTGAGATGATGCTGATGCTACATGTTCAGGTTCACGAAGTAAGGACATACCTTTCTGGCTGGGGAGAAAAAAGCCGAGGTTAATCCTTTTTATCAGATACTGAATTCTCGTAATATGCGCAGACAACGTAGGCCAACAGAGCTGCCCTCTCCATCTGACCTGAGCAGCTGGGAGTTCCCCTGAGTTGTAGGGGTACCTTCTTGGCCCATTTTGCAATGAATCTGTGGGTTTCTATTCGACCTCAGTTGGGCGTGTCTTTTTGATGCCACCCTTCTTGGGGTGGGGTTTAAAGGGAAACAGAAGGACACCCATTGAACGATGGTTGAAAAGAGCGGGGAATCACCCTCCAAAAATGGTGGACCCCAACTGCTTGTAGTACAGCACTTGGTGGAATGCATGGTTTTCCCAAGGCAAGCGTGAATGAGCTCGCCTATGAAGCTGCTTGGCAGTTTGGGACAGCATAATGTTGGGTATGCGGGCAAATGAGCAAGGCAAACAAGAAATATGAACTGCCCAATCTTGAGCATCTATTGTACTACCTGATTTCAAGCGCCAGGATATTCAGCATCACGTACTTGTTTTTTATGAATTTGACCACACTCGGATTTGCATTGCAACCATCCAGTTCGACGCTGCCCGCTGCGGCTGGCCGTGAGTCAAGTTGCAGTTGATTGTCACGGCCGTTTCTTGTAGTAGAGGACGCAGGGTGGTGAGTCGCTGCGCCTCAATTTACATTTTGAGGTGCAGTACGTGTGGACCAAACATGTTCCCCCAGCCCCCCGACACCCACCCCCCACCCACCCCCCACCCACCCGCACCCCCCACCCACCCCCCACCCACTCCCACCCCCCACCCACCCCCACCCCCACCCCCCACCCACCCCCATCCACCCCCACCCACCCCCACCCACCCATGCAACCCTGTTTTGGCTTGTTTCAATGGACAGCAGGAACCAGTCACATGGAAGCATTGTGGGGCAGTCTAGGAAGTGTATAGGCCTGACACTGATTGTTTTCCTACTGCTTAGATCTTCCCTGGCATCCATGGCTAGGTCCCCAGTAGTGCCCTTTCTCACCCCTTTTTTGGTTGGGAGGGTTCCCCCTACTAAAATAGTCCAGAAAGAACAATCGGGTACCAAATTATTCTAACCTCTCAAATCTGGAGGACCTAGATGGTTGTAGCCTACTTGACACTCCTGTCAGGGCTGTCTCGCGCGAGTCGCATGCATTTCGCGAGCGAAGAAGCGAAGGTGGGGAGCACGGCGAGCGTGCGCGCCTTCGACTACAGCCGGGTACGCTTCCCCACCTCCGGCCACGTCTTCCCGGAGGCGGTTTTTCAGCCTGTCTGCCAGCCACCAGGTGACCACGGGTGGAAACTTCTCCCAGCTCAGAGGATACCTTCGATTTGGTTAAGAATACTTTTCTTTTCCCCTGTTGGTTTTCAAGGGAATCTATGACTACTGTGTGTGTGTTTGTTTTCAGGGGACTTAAGCAAATGGAAGATACCCTGAAAAGTCCTTAAGAGAAAAGCTCCCGGCATGCTTTTATATGGATTCTATTGTTCTTGGCGCTTTTTGAGTTTTGTGGGAGTTTCATTCTGCCAGTCACTCAATTGCTATGATGACGCTCGGATCTTTGGAGCAACCCTGCTCAACGTTCGGAACGAGCGTTGGGATCGCGGAAAGAGCAACCCTGCTCAGGAAACTGATCATGCAAGGTGCCTCCCACGAGTGCCTGCTGGCGTTGTGGCTTTTTGAGCACTCCTGCGAAGAAATTTCAGGGGTCAAACCTTCTTGATCCCTTGAAAGTAGCAATCCTTTCCGGGCTTCCAAAGCCGCATCGTTTGTTTTCTCCTTTTTCAGAGTAGCCTTGGGTTCGTTTAAAGGGCCATTGTGGGGTCCCAAATCCCGATTTTGACATCTACCCATATTTTCCTCCCTTTTGTTAAGCTTCGTCTTCTGGACCCCGAGGCCAGTTTCCTTTGGTAGTGATGTGTTGGGACATCATCTTGGGCATTGATCAGATCCCTCCTGTTTCACCAAGACCTCAGGCAATGCGGCCTTATGGCATTGTTTGGAGCAAGGGGTAGGGTGGGTTGGGTGGCTTGGAAGCCCGGAATCCCGTCCACTGGGCAGGCGACCTGCTCCGAGACTGGCCAAACCTTTGTGGAGCTTTTGGATGTCGCTCGGCGCAGAAAAGTCTCGGGCGGGAAAATGCCGGCGAAGGGGGAACCACACACACAAACTCACACAACCCAGGGAAGTTATGATGTGGATCTGTCGTGCTTTGGGTTAGCTGCAAGTTTCAACATGAGCCACGCTTGCCAGTGCGTTGATTCCTCTTGATGCATCCCGATATTTTTGGAATCTTGTCCCCATCTCCAAACGTGGTTGCATTTTGGCGGCGATCCAACACTGGCAAAGCTATCGGTGCCGCACACTAGGCGTGGGATTTCTGAAGGATAGAGCTGCGTGTCTCCTATGGGTAACTTGAAGCATAGGAACTCGTCTAAGCGGTGAACGCCTGAGTCTATCACGAGCTCACTCACAAAAACCAGTAAATCGGGGGGGGGGGGGATCCCTATTTCCAAATTATGAATGTGTGTGTGTGTGTGTGGGTTGGTGGGTGGGTGGGTGAGTGGGCGTCGGGGTGTGTATGTGTGTATGTGTGTCTGTGTGTGTGTGTGTGCCGAGACCCTGATTTACCCCAGGACCAACCTTTTTCATGCAGGGGGGGTGGCAGCACAAAGACAGTCTCGTGACCCTAGTGGCGGGGAGCAGTTGGAGACGTCCAGTTGTGTACCTGCCGGTGCTATTGCAGGGCTTGGTTCCCCGCAAGGCCGTGGGTGCTTCGCCCTTGCTCAACCTTAGGTGATTCTCTTCCCCTGAAGCCACTCGGACTTGTCCAGAATGACACGGCTCTCTCTCGATATGTCTCACTCGACATGATAGCACTCGACATGATCTAAATTCAAATTCTGATTGGATCGCTCCCTTGGGAGTTGAAGTAAGTGTGTTTGTTGCTTTGTTTGTTTGTTTTTGAAGGTACCGTTGTCCGGTCGGCTTGAGTATTGTAAATGGGAACCATTAGGATTCTGGCCATTTTGGGTCCAACCCCCCCCCTCCCCCGACACCTAGATCAAAGGATCCCCTCGTTTTGAGCCAACCGTCACCTGTCAGCCGGGGAAAGATCCCTTAACCCCACCCGGTCAGTTTGCGGGCGCGTTTTCCCCCCTTTTTCTTCGCGTTAGGGCGTCCCTTTCTAGCCACGGCCACCGGCTGCCTGGGAAACCATGATTGTTCAAAGAGCCTCCTTTGGGCTTTCCTCTAAACAGGGCCTGTAGTCTGCTTGTTCAAACACATTTGTGCAACCCTGGCCAATCCGCATCATCAGGTCGCCAAATACCATACCCTGCAAAGGCAGGGCTGTTGACTCACTTCCTGAACTTGCGCCGATTTCTTAGATGCTTGGTACAAAACACATATATCAAGAAGCTGAACAAGGTACAATTCTCACTCCCTGAGTTTATGGCCGGACTTTCTACCATTTTGGACCATTTCCGTGATACACCTAAAAATCCGTTTGCGTTTTTCCGCCCCCCCACTTAGGACTCCTGATCCCCTGGAGCCACCCGAAGAAAAATACAAACGAAAAGCCAAAAAGAAAAAGCATCCGGAGTGATGCAACTAACAAAACCCGTTTTTTCTTCCCCACTTTGGACTCCTGATTTTCTGGGGGCCACCGGAAAAAAGTCCGATCGGAGACTCCAGCCAAATCGACTCCGAGAGGAGCTCTACGAGCGCCAGGACCAGCTGGCAGTCTCGCTGATGACGGCCTTTGAGGAGACCTGGGGGGGGTGGCTCGCTTGGGCGGCTGGGTAATCCCCTGGGAGAGCCATCGCCAAACGGCGCCTGGTGGGGCGAGATTCCTCCCACAAAAGACATTTAGAACTTATCTTTGGAGCGTTTTGCCAAGGGATGTTAGGACTGAACAACTTTTTGCCAACAAAGGAGCTTTCCGTGTTAAACCACTGAACGTTCAACTTTTAGCAG